GTTAACTCTGCATGTACGCACGCACAACGTGAAAGTGCCTGTTGTTGCGGTATATGCTCCGCTCGCTCCGCAATTTTTATGTGATCATGATTTGAATTAGTAATGTAACAGTGGAATGTATTCACCCAGTGTTGGAGTATGAATATATGTTCGCTTTCTTCAGCAGCAGCTGAGCTCAGGAGTTTCCAAAGCTACATTATAGAAATTCGGGTAGAAGTGCACAGAATTCCCTCATATTTTCACCAACACTCGTAGTTGACAACGTTTATATTTTCTCACACACTCTCTGTGGAGAGGAACATTCAATGTTAATTTCGATATCGTAAAATGATAATGTTCGAATATATGTTTGCTCAGCTCAGCTCAGGAGGATGAAAATTCATCCACGAAAAAATCAATAAGAATTTCCTCTTAAAATTTCAAACTGTTATTGTGTGGTGGAACATGTGCGTATCCTCTCCTCACACTGTTTTTCCTTTTTTAGATCGAATATTTTTTCCCACATTTCTGTATAATTTCTTCAAAGCTATGCATTGTGTTGGTGGGAAGAATTCGCCTCAGATGATAAAAACGTTTATTTCCATTTCCCTATGCAGATGGTTTCAGGATTAGCGGAGCGAAGCATTAAATGTTTGGCAGTTTATGTTTTTGTATATTGGAGTTTCACCCGTTTTACGTGAAGTGGCGTCGTAATACTCCATGTGAAAAACTGAGCGATATGAAGTGAATTGAAAACTGTGGATGAATTTCGCCATTTCACGAAATGTGAAATATGTGTTACTCTAGTTTTTTTTTTCATATCGCGTGTGAAACTCCAGTGTATTTTACTAAATTCCTCTTTCCCTTACCCGACTGTCATTCAAGAGTTTGACTCGTCGATCCACCGCAACTGTTATTGACAAAATATAATTTCAATTAGTTTTTTCGAAGTCTCTCACAAGGTGTTACATTTTGAAACGTCGGTGGCTCATATTTGCCTTCAACCGTTTCCTCTTATGATATCTTGTATGAATATCTATGCGTTTTTGCTACCGTTATGGAATATAAACATAATAAATGTAAATAGCGTGATTCATTGAACATTGGAGTTTCACAACAATCCGTTTTACAACGTGAAGTGGCGTCGTTAAACTCGGTGAAATATGTTTTTCACTAGTGTATTGCATATCACTAGGGTGGCCGTGAAACTTCATTATATATAATATTCAGGTTAACTTCAGAAATGGTTAAAGTATATTTAACTTCAACCGTTGCCTCTTGTGAAAATTTCCATATAACCGTTTTTTTCTTTTCGAATATTTTCAGTGAATTCTATCAAAAAAATCTATGACTGCTACCCAAGAATTCGATCCTACCATTCACACCGAAACTGTTGCTCACACGTATACGATTGAAAATGAAAATCTGCAACACTCCGTATCGGTGGTTCACGAGCGTGGCCGCGGCTATGCGTGGAGAATCTGGCCAAGCGCTCACGTAAGAAGAAAAGTCGATTTTTTTTGATAAATTTTAATAGTTACTCACGAAATTTCTGGCAAAGGAATTGAAGACTCGTAAAAATTGTCCGATCGATTTCATCGATATTGGATGCGGCGCAGGGCTCGTCGGACTAGCAGTTGCAGCGAGTGCGGGTAATGCCTAGTGGGAAAATAATATATTATATTAACATTGTTGAGGTGGTTGCATATTATAACAACCCGTTTTACGAGAAGTAGTGATATGTTTTGTTCGTATCACTAGGGTGGTGAAACTACATTTTAGTAGTTTTTCGAAATCACGGAGAGGCGGTTTGATTAGTTGTTAAAGTGAAGTGGCCGAGTTTGGTAATATTCACTGTTAAACTCGGAAAATAGAAAATTTCAAACATATTGTTTTTGTGGGGAAATGGATTTTTGGAAGTGTTGGTGATGAGGAATAGGATATAATTATTCATTGGAGTTTCACCCGTTTTTCGCGAAGTGAAATGTGAAATGTGTTTTTCATATCACTAGGGTGAAACTCCAATATTAATATTTCATAATATTATACAATCAAGTTTCACGGCCACCCTAGTGCATATCACCGCGAGTATCGCCTAGTTTTTCACTGAGTTTTACGATGCCACTTCACTTTGTAAAACGGGTGGAACTCCAATATATGATATTAGTATTAAATATAAAATAAACATATTCTCAGTTTTAGGTTGAAACTCGTATATTTGATTCCATTGTGTGTTTCCAACAGGCTCGAAAAAAGTCGTCTTGACAGACCTCGCAGATCAGCTCGGGTCTGCACAGCGTTCGTTAGATCTCAACGATGAGGAGGTGGGGCTCCTGGTAGGGGCGTTTTTATATCCTCTTTTTTATCAGGTGAAGGCTAAGACGCGCCTTATGCCTCTCCCATGGGGCGACTTGGAAGCTGGCAAAAAGGTTATTGAAACTCTTAGTGATGATGATGATGAGCGCGAACTCTGGGTATGCGGATCGGGCCTGGTAGGTTTACGGGATGATTTTGTGGCGCGTGAAAAAAATGACGAGATGATTAATGTGACGGAGAATCTTTTCAAAGAATACTTTTTTTTCTGATCTGATGTTGGTGAAATTTTTTCTCCGGAGTATGGGTGCGTGGTGGGATAATTTTGTGGCGCGTGAAAGAATTGGCGAGATAATAGTGATGGAAAAATTCCCAATATTGTGATAGCAGTACTGTCATTTTGCTACAGTGTTACACCTGACGATATGAAAAAATATTTTTCTGTAGAGTTGGCGAAGAAGGTTTGGGGATTTTAGTGTGGAAAATATGCAAATGGTCAACTACATGTGTTGGTGATGACAATATGAAAATTCTGAGAGGAAATTCTTATTGGTTTCTGTACACTTTTACTCGAGCTTTGGAAACCCCTGAGCTCAGCTGGTGAGGAAAGCGAACATATATTCATACTCCAACACTGTATAGGAAACTCCTGAGCTCAGCTGGTGAGGAAAGCGAACATATATTCATACTCCAACACTGTATAGGAAACTCCTGAGCTCAGCTGCTGAGGAAAGCGAACATATATTCATACTCCAACACTGTATAGGAAACTCCTGAGCTCAGCTGGTGAGGAAAGCGAACATATATTCATACTCCAACACTGTATAGGAAACTCCTGAGCTCAGCTGGTGAGGAAAGCGATTACATATATTCATACTCTAACACTGTATAGGAAACTCCTGAGCTCAGCTGGTGAGGAAAGCGATTACATATATTCATACTCCAACACATACTCCGCAGTGCCGTATTACAATTTTCGATGATAATAAATTTCTTATATTCCTCCAACACTCAGGTTTACTTCGACTCGTTGATGGCACCGTTGGCGGATACCTTCCAACAGCTCCTTAATGCCAGGCCGAAAGCAGTTGCTTATATTGGGCAGATTAAGAGGAACTGGAAGGTGGAGAAGAGGTGTGTAGCTTAGTTGGTTGGGGTCCAGGGCTGTCTATCGGGAGGTCGCGGGTTCGATCCTATGTAGGTTCTTTACTAAACTTTGCAGACAGAGAGGATTGGACTGTGATCTCCTTTATTCAGCTCTTGTGGAGGAGAACGATGGCTGTGGTCAGGAGACCGACGGAACGGTAACAAAAGCTTCCATTTATACCATCATTTACACTCTTTTTGTAGAATGTCCCTATTGATAGTGATATTACTTTATATGATTTGTAATACAAGATATGTAAATATGATATTATTATATGTTTCCCATTTATCTCATTGGAGTTTCACAACGTGAAGTGGCGTCGTAAAACTCCAGGTGAAAAACTAGGCGATATTCGCCGTGATAGGCAGTAGTCGTGAAATATAATTTTCACTGGTGTTTTTCATATCACTAGGGCCGGCCGTGAAACTCCAATATATAATGTGGTTATCGTATGGGGGGGGCATTAGATGTAAATATATATCACTACTATATGTATAATACAGAGTGCTCTAATATTGGGGTATTGTCTGTAACTTGCATAACGAATTTCCTCCAGTGAGAGAATAAACCATTAGAAAGATGTTCTTGGCGAGCGCTTTTTAATGGTATCTTTAAGTTTCAAATATGCTTTGGCCCAGCCGAGCTATACACAATTGGGTTACGCGATTTTATTGCTCAAAATCCGTGCAAAAAAAGTTCAAGTCGATTTTCTCTTAACAAATCAGCACGATCGTATCATAAGGCATATTTGGAATTAAAAGATATTCCATTGGAAAGCTTTCGACGAGATCTTCATGGTCAGTTATCTCACACTGGGAAATTCGTTGAAAATTACAGACAATAGCATACTTTATTTGGGGCGCCCTGTTAATGATACTAATATGTTGGCAATACCGTGGAGTGTGTTTTCGATTTCTCTGTTGCGATGGATTGCACTGCAACCCAAATATTTTATATTTTTATTTTTTATTTTTTTTTAATTGCACTGTTCTTGGGTAGGTCATAGCATCATAGCATTGTCAGTTTGGGGGGGGATACGCATATGGTCAACCACATGTGTTGATGATGACAATATGAAAATTATGAGAGGAAATTTTAGGAAAATTTCATTGGTTTCTGTGCATTTCTACCCGAATTCTATTAGCTGTATAAATTCCTGACCTGAGCTGAGGAAAAAAAATAAATTCCAACTGAAAATAGAAGTATTTTTTTCAGGAAATTCATAAATATTTCCCTTTCTTTGTATCAGTTTAAGATTCTTGAAGAGCACG